TTGTTATGTGCCATCGAGTCAGACCCGACTCATAGCGACCCCTCCTTGGGTTTCCGAGGCAGTATCACTACAGAAATAGATTGCCCCATCTTCCTTCCGAGGAGTGGCTGGTGGGTTTGAACCTCCAGCCTTCTGGTTAGCAGTCGAGTGCCTTAGGCATTACGCTAACAACAACAACATTTTTATTTTTATTTTTATTTTTTTCGGTTGAGTAAATTCCAACTCATAGTGATCCCATCTGACAGAGTAGAACTGCCCCACAGGGTGTTTTTTGTTTCTCTTTAATTGTGATTTGGGTGAAAGTTTAAGGAGCAAATTATTTTGTGATGTTGATTGCGTTCCCCACAAGGTAACAGCACTCTTCCCACTTCCTCCCTGTGTCACCGTTTCCTTCCGTCCTTCCCTCCTATCTATCCCTTTCTCCCTTTTGAGTTTACCACTGGGCAAGTGCTGCCCTTTTGACCTTGCGCAGTTGCTTGTTCTAAGAAGTGTGTGCCTCCCTGGTATATTGCCCACCACATGGGCCTGTCTGTCATCTGGCTGAAAGAACCATGGAGGCAAGTTCAATTCAATTCTGAACTTGAAGGATATCTAAGGCCCATAGTCTCAGGGGTCCCACTAGTGTCTATCAGACCTGCCTCATCTTTCTTGTGATTTTAAGTTTTGTTCCACAGTTTTCTCCCACTCTATCTGGGACCTCCTATTGTGATCCCTTTCAGAGCAGTCAACAGTGGTAGCCAGGCATCATCTACTTCTTCTGGTCTCAGGACTGAGGAAGCTGTGGTTTACATGGTCCATTAATCCTTTGGACTAATTCTTTCCTTGAAAATTAACCATTTTAAAGTATACAATCCAGTGACATTTAATACACATTGTTGTGCAACTACTACTTCTATCTAGTTCCAAAACATTTCATCACCCCAAAAGAAAACCTCATACTCATTAAGCAAACAAAAAATAAACCCACCGCTATCAAGACCATTTAGTTGAGTCCTACTCATGGCAATCCCCATTGGATTTCCAAGGCTGTAAATCTTTATGGAAGTAGGTTGTCTCATCTTCCTCCTGTGGAGCAGCTGGTGGGTTTGAACTGTCAACCTTCTGGTTAGCAATCAAATGCCTTACCCACTCCACCACCAAGGCTCCTTACTCATTAAGCAATCACTCTTTATTCCTCCATCCTCATGAGTCCCTGGCAATCACAATCTGCTTTCTATCTCTATGGATTTGTCTATTCTGGACATTTCACATCAATAGAATTATACAATATGTGACCTTTTGTGCCTGGCTTCTCTCACTTAGCATGATGGTTTATAGGCTCATCCATCTGGTAGCATAAATCAGTACTTCGTTCCTTTTTATGGCTGCATAATGTTCCATTGCATGGCTATACCATACTGCATTTTGTTTTCCCGTTCAACTGTTGATGGACACGGGTTGTTTCTACCTTTTGGTAATGAGTAATGGTGCTATGAATATTGGGGTACAAGGGTATATTTGAATACCTATTTTCAATTCTTTGGGATACTGGGCATCACATTTCCTATCACCCTGCTTCCATTGACCTTTTTGGGTTTTACAACCAAGCATGAGACTTTTTGCTCTGTCTCAGATTCAAAAGCAGGACTACCTGTTGTTCTCAGCACCACACCCAGCTTCTTATCCGCTCCTCCAAGCCCAGCGCAGACTCCCAAAACATTTTGAAGAGTCTTCATAAACCCCACCATGGATGTACTGAGATGCCTCCAGCTTCATGCTCCATTCTTTCTTTTTTAAAAAATAGTATTGTATTGTGTGTAAGGTACAAGTTTACACAGCAAATTAAGTTCTCATTTAAGAATTTCTACACAAATGATTCAGCAATCTGTCGGATGTATATTTCACGATGTGTCCTCATTCTCACTCACTCTGTTCCAGTTGTCCCATCTCCCCTATTCTAGTTCCCCTGCACCCTTAGCTTCTCATCTTTGCTTTAGAGTAAGTGCTGACCATTTGGTTTCATATCAATTATTATTTTTTTAAAAAAGAACTCATTACTTACAGGTTGTTATTGTTGTTATGTACCGTTGAGTCATACTCGACTCATAGTGACCCCTCCTTGGGTTTCTGAGGCAGTATCACTACCGAAGTAGATTGCCCCATCTTCCTTCTGAGGAGTGGCTGGTGGGTTTGAACCACCAGCCTTCTGGTTAGCAGTCAAGTGCCTTAGGCACTATGCTACCAGAGCGCCCATACTTATAGGTAGTATTCTTTATTTTATGAACCAATCTGTTATTTAGTTAAAAGCTGACTTCAAAGGATAATTTCTGTTGAAGCTTTAAAGACTATCTCAGGTGATGGTGTTGGGGAATCCTCTAGTTTCACCCGGTCCAGTAAGCCTAGACTTTCTACGAATTTGAGTTCTGTTCCACGTTTTTCTCCTGTTCTTTTAGGATCTATCTATAGTGGCCCTGATAAGAACGATTGGTAGTAGTAGCCAGGCACCTTCTAGTTCTGGTCTCAGGGTAGATGCGTTGTGATTCGTGTATACTATTAGTCTTATAGACCACTGTCTTCCCTGAGTCTGGTTTCCTTCTTTTTCTTTTGTTCCAGACAAATAGAGACCCAGACACTACTTACACACACTTTGTGAACTTAAGTGTGCCACTGAAGAGAGGTGTCGCACGAGACTATGGTCCTAAGCCTTCAAACCCAGAAAACCAATCCCTCGAGGTGTTCGGTTATGTAAGAAGCATCTGAAACTATGTTCCCTATGTGACTTATTATATAATGCTCCTTTCTTTTAAATTGTCCTAGGCAAAGGGGTTAAAAGATGAGTGAGTACCTTTCCCTCCACTTTATGGAGGGAACACTCGGGTTAATGATGTGCCTGATTGTATGGTTATCCCAGCACAGGCACTGGCAAACTTTTCTGTGAATGGCCAGGTTGTGAGTGTTTAAGGCTTTGCTGCCAGACGGTTTCTGTCACAACTACTCAGTGCTGCCCCTAGACCACGAGAGCATCCGTAGGATGGCTGTGGCCGTGTTCCAGTAAAACCGTACGTCTAGACACCAAACTGGGATGTTCATATCTTTTTCACGGGTCATGAAATAACATTCTTCCTTGGATTTTTTATTTTCAATTTGACCATTTAAAGATGTAAAGGAATTAGAAATCAGAACAGTGATGGCCTCTGAGGATGATGCACAGGGATTGCCGAGGAAGAGGCTCAAGGGAACTTTCTGAAATGATGGGAAGACTCTGTGTTTTGATCGGAGCGAGGACTGCACAGGTGTGTAGTTTGGCCAGAATTCATTGATCTGTGCTTTCATGATCTGTATGGTTCAGTATATGTAAAGGGGTAGTGATGGTTCAGTAGTGGAATTCTCGCCTTCCATGAGGAGGACCTGAGTTTGGTTCCTGACCAGTGGACCTCACGTACAGCCACCACCCATCCGTCAGTGAAGAACTGTGTGCTACTGTGATGCAGAGTGGGTTTCAACAGAGCTTCCAGACTAAGATGGGCGAGGAAGAAAGGCCTGGTGATCTGCTTCTGAAAATCCACCAGTGGAAACCCTGTAGATCACCATGTTCCTATCTGCAACTGATTTGACATAGGCCTGGGTAGTGTTTTGTCCCATTGTGCATAGCGTTGCCTTGAGTCAGGGGCCATCTTGATTGTGGTTAAGAACAACTAAACATTGTAGCTCAGTAAAAATTTTAAAATATATATTTTTAAAAATGTAAAAACCATTCTTAGCTGGAAAGCCACACAACAGGCAGTGGGCAGCCTGCACCGTACTTTGCGATTCTTCTCTAGAAGAATGAGCTGCAAACGGGACCTCTAGGAGCACGTGGGTGGTCTCTGGAAGGTAGAAGAGTGGGAATGACAGCACTCTGTGTGGTCCTATGTGTCTTTCTGCTAAGCCCTGCTTCCTGATATTCTTTGCAACAAAAATCCAGCGTCAGACATCCCAAACTCGTGGCTGCGCTGCCACAGTGCTGTGTTAGCACTTGGACTCCGCCTTGGCGTGGTGGATCTCTAGAAATAACCCTTCCTTATTTTTAACACCCTGGCCTTGTCACTGGGTTTCCAGTTTCTCCCAAAGAGAATTCCAGGTCCGGAGACAGAAGTTGGAATTCAGAACGTCTGAGGCATGTTGGTAAACTGCACCCTCTTCTGCCCATCACTGCCACTCCTCCCCACAAAGGTCCTCAGGGTACCCTGGTGACATGCTTTTCTGTCCTGCAGAGTCCTGGCGCCCCTGGGCTGTGGCCTGGAGTCCAAGCAATTTCTGGACACAAGGAAGAAGTTTTCTGAGAGCTTTTATTTCAAAGCACGGTCAGAGTCTGCCCAGTTAAAAACGCTTCTCAGGGCTTCTGGAAGCCAAGGAGGGGATGTAGGAAAGAGTGTTTACCTTGTCACAGAGAAGAAGAGGGGAGCTGGCTATTCACACAGGGGAACACCCAGAGCTAGTCTACAAGCGCAGGGGCCTCTGTGAGGTTTGCAGAGGACAGCTAGAACCAACTCATCAAAGACAACGGGCGCTGGAACAAGTGGGAGCTGCTGTGGGAGATCCAGCTAAGTAATTGCCACTGAGTGGATTCCAACTCAACCCACCCCATGTGCCTCAGGGTAGAACTGTGTCCTGGGGGTTTTCAAGGCTGTAACCTTGTGGGAGGAGATCATGGGCCTTTTCTTCCACGGCACCTCTGGGCGAATTTGAACCACCATCCTTTCAGTTAGCAGTCCAGTGTTTAACTGTTTGTACCCGTAGGGTCCTGAGGAAGGTCAGGCCTCTCCAAACACCGGTGTCCCAGCCTGTCCTGCCTCCTTCTGCCCACAGGCAGGTCTGGACGCAGAGTCCTCGCGCTCTAGGAGAGGAGCCCCCGCAGCGCAGAGAAGTCCTCGGAGGAGGGAAGCAGCCGTGGCTGTCAGCGTGCAGTGGAGGGGACCAGGGAGGTGCACCATGCTCGCCTCCTCTCCAGAACCTCCTGGCCCGGGGGCGCGGCTTCCGAAGGGAAAGCCCCAAGGGTCGCTGGGGCCCCAGGAGACTAATGCTCGGGTTCAGCGTCCATGCAGGACTCCCATGGGTTCTGGGGCATTCGAGGCAGGGCGAAGAGCAGGAGGGCCAGGCCGCCTAGGAAGAGCAGGACGAAGGCCGTGCAGGCGCAGGCGAAGGACCAGGAGTAGTAGTAGTCGATCCAGACCGTGTCCTCGCTGTCCACCATGCGCTTCACTGACTGCCGCATGACCTCCACCGAGACGAGGATGCAGAGACCTGGGCACAGAGAGGGTGGCACTGAAGGGCGGGTGGCTCTCCCTTCGCCCGTATCCAGCCCCAGCCTGTGCTGCCCGCCCGTGCGCATCTGTGCGTGGAGCCGTAGGCGCCCTCCTTGGGGGAAAAGCTTCCTCAAGACCGAGGTGGCAAGTGACCCATCTGCCTGTGCACCACACAGCTAGCTCACTCATCCCTCAGAAGGTTCACAGAGTTGGGTTTTTTCAGTTTTTCTTTTCTCCCTTCCTCCTTCCCTCCCTCCCCCCACCCTCTTTCCTTTATGACTTATTATTATTATTATTGAGGTGAAATTCACATAACATTAAATTAACGGGTTTAAAGTGAGTAATTCCATGGCATTTAGACCATTCAGCTGTTGTGCAGCCACCACTCTATCTAATTCCAGAAATTCCTTCACCCAGAGGGACCCCTGCGCCTGGGAAGTTGTCCTCACTTCCCCTCCTCCGTGCCCCTGGTAACCACCAGTCTGCTTTGTCTCCATAGAGTTGCATTCTCTGGACATTTCGTAACAATTGAATCCTATAACATGGGGCCTTGAGTGATGGCACCTTTTACTTTGCACAATGTTTTTGAAGTTCATCTGTGTTGGAAGACTTCATTATTACATCATGATATTACAAGGAAATATCAGTACTTCATTTCTTTTTATGGCTGATGATATTCCATTGTATGGATATGTCACAATTGTTTATTTACACATTCATCCATTGACAGACATTTCGGTATTTCCCATCGTTTGGCTGCTCTGAATATCTGTGTACATATACTTGTTTGAGTCCCTGTTCTTTCTTGATTGTTTTCTGTGAAGTTTATTTATACTGTGCTCTGAGGATTAAGTCATTGTGAGAAAGGGACAAACTTTCAAGGTCTGCCTCCCAGCTTGCCTAGGGTTGTGGAGGCCTCAACCACGTTCCTGGAGGGAGCCTGGGAATTGCTCCACACCAAAGTCCTGAGGTTGTCCGATATAGTGCCAGAAGATTAGCCCCTCAGGTTGGAAGAAACTTAAAATACAACTTGGCAAGAGTTGCTTCCTCAGAGTAGAGTCGACCTTAATGATGTGCATGGAGTAAAGCTTTCAGGACCTTCATTTGCTTTGTGTGACATGTCTCAAATGAGAAGAAACGGCTGCAAACCTCCGTTAGTAAGTGGACTATGGAATGTGTGGAGTATGCATCTAGGAAAGTTGGAAGTTGTCAAAAATGAAATGGAATGGATAAAGATCAATATCCTAGGTATTAGGGAGCTGAAATGGATTGGTATTGGCCATTTTGAATCAGACAATCTAATGGTCAAGTATACCAGCAATGACAAAGTAAAGAGGAATGGCATCACATTCATCATCAAAAAGAACATTTCAAGATCTGTCCTGAAACACAAGGCTATCAATGATAGGACAATATCCATATGCATAAAAGGAAGACCAGTTAATACCAGTTAATTATTCAAATTTATGTACCCACCACTAAAGCTAAAGATGAAGAAATTAAAGGTTTATGCCCACTTCTGCAGTCTGAAATAGACCAAACATGCAACCAAGATGTATTTATAATTACTGGTGATTGGAATGCAAAAGTTGGAAACAAAGAAGCAGCATTTGTAACTGGAGAATATGGCCTTGGTGGAAAATATGACTTTGGGTATAGACATGATGCCAGAGATTGCATGATAGAATTTTGCACGACTGATGACTTGTTCATTGCAGATGCCTTCTTCAAACAATGTAAACAGCAACTGTATGCATGAATCTCACCAAATGTAACACACAGAAATCAAATCAAGTACATCTGTGGAAAGAGACAATGGAGAAGGTCAGTAACATCAGTCAGAATTAGGCCAGGAGCCAACTGGGGAGCAGAGCATCAGTTGCTCATATGCAAGTTTAAGGTGAAGCTAAAGAAAATTCAAACAAGTTCACGAGAGCCAAAGCATGACCTTGATTAAATCTCAAGCAAATTTTGAGATCACCTGAAGAAGAGATTTGATGCATTGGACACCAGTGGCCAAAGACAAGATGAGTTGTGGGGTGACAAGAACATCATACGTGAAGAAAACAAAAGGTCATTAAAAAGACAGGAAAGGAAGAAGAGGCCAAAATAGATATCAGAAGAAGCTCTGAAACTCACTCTATTTTTTTTTTTTTAATTTTTATTATGATTTGGGTGAAAGTTTACACAGCAAATTCATTTTCCATACAGCAGCTCACATACACTTTGTCTCATGACATTGACTTGAAACTCACTCTTGCAAGGAGAGTAGCTAAAGCAAATGAATGATGAAGTAAAATATCTGAAAAGAAGATTTCAAAGGGCAGTTCAAGAGAACAAAATAAAGTATTATAATGAAACGTGCAAAACACTGGAAATGGAAAATCAAAGGGGAGGAACACACTGCGTTTCTCAAGCTGGAAGAACTGAAGAAAAATTCAAGCCTCGAGTTGCAATGTTGAAGGATTCTAATGGCAAAATATTGAACATGCAAGAAGCATCAAAAGGAGATGGAAGGAATACACAGAGTCACTATACCAAAAAGAATTGGTCAATGTTCAGCCATTTCAGGAGGGATCAAGAACCAATGGTACTGAAGGAAGAAGTCCAAGCTGCACTGAAGAAATTAGTGAAAACAAGGCTCCGGGAATTGATGAAATACCCATTGAGATGTTTTAAGAAACAGATGTAGCACTGGAGGTGCTCACTTGTTTATGCCAAGAAATGTGGAAGACAGCTACCTGGCCAACCAACTGGAAGAGATCCATATTTTTACTCATTCCAACAGTATGCAGAAATTATTGAACCATGTAATTAATATCATATGCATGTTAAATTTTGATGAAGATAATTTTAAAGTGGTTGCAGTGAGACATTGACATGGAACTGCCAGAAATTCAAGCCAGATTCAGAAGAGGAAGTAGAATGAGGGATATCATTGCTGATGTCAGATGGATCTTGGCTGAAAGCAAAGAATACCAGAATGATGTTTACCTGTGTTTTACTAGCTATGCAAAGGCATTCAACTGTGTGGATCATAACAAATTATGGATAACACTACAAAGAATGGGAATTCTAGAACACTTAATTGTGCTTGCAAGAATCTGTACCTGGACCAAGAGTCAGTTGTTCAAACAGAACAAGGGGATACTGCATGGTTTAAAATCAGGAAAGGTGTGTTAAGTAGTATCCTTTCACCATACTTATTCAATCTGTATGCTGAGCAAATAATCCAAGAAACCAGATTAAATAAAGAATGTGGCATCAGGATTGGAGGAAGACTTATTAACAAATGCAGATGACACACCTTGCTTGCTGAAAGTGAAGAAGACTTGAAGCACTTACTGATGAAGATTCTGTATGGATCACACCTCAATATAAAGAAAACAAAAGTCTTCACACCTGGACCAGTGGGCAACATCATGATAAATGGAGAAAAGACTGCAGTTGTCAAGGATTTCATTTTACTCGGATCCACAATCAGTGCCCATGGAATCAACAGTCAAGGAATCAAATGACGTGTTGCATTGGGCAAATCTGCTGCACAAGACCTCTTTAAAGTGTTAAAGAGGAAAGATGTCACTTAGGAGACTAAGGTGTGCCTGACCCAAGCCGTAGAATTTTCAACAGACTCACATGCTTGTGAGAGCTGGACAGTGAATAAGGAAGATCGAAGAAGAATTGATGCATTTGCATCATGATGTTGATGAAGAATATTGAATAGACCATGGACTGTCGGAATAATGACCAAATCTGTCTTGGAAAAATTACAGCCAGAATGTTCTTAAGAAACGAGAATGCCAGACTTCATCTCTCATACATGGGTCATGTTGTCAGAAGCATGTCACGTATGGTGAAGTAGAAGGTCTGCAGAAAAGGGAAGACCCTCGGTGAGATGGACTGACACAGTAGCTACAATAATGGGCCCAAGCAGAGCAATGGTAGTGGAACGGTGCCGGACTGGGCAGTCTTTCACTCCGTCAAACAAGAGCTCTGTGATTCGGGACTGACCCGATGGCACTAACAACAATGAGTCCTGAGGTAGGCGGGAGGGTGTTGTGTCAGAACACCCTCCCTCATGACGTTGCCCCTAAATCTGGGTACATGGGCAGGAGTCCCCGCTCTACCTGCGAAGGCGTAGAACATGGATCCTGGCCTCAGCAGGTAATCTCTCTTCTTCCGGAATGACAGGAGGATGCAGATGGTGCCCAAAATGATGAAGCCAAGGCTGAAGATGGAGATGGCAGCCGCCGAGATGCTATACTCTGCAAAACACAAAGGGGCAAGAGGACTCAGTGGTCGCTGCGGTCCGGACCAGCTCCTCCAACCAGACTAGTGACAAAGCTCACGCCTACTACTTCCATTTCACACGTGAGAAAACGGAAGGTCTGAGAGATTCAGGAACTTCCTCAAAATTGCACAGCAACTAAAGGGACTTCTTCACCGGGAGCCTCCTTCCACTTCATGCTCACTGCACTGCAAGAACCGGCCACCAGAGGCAGAAGCCTTGGAAGGAGGCAGCCATGTGGCTGGAGACTTTTCTAGAGCAGAAATCTTGGTCCAACTGGCAGGGCAGAGGAGGCACCTGGGCCGTGGGGGGCCTGCTCTGGGACTGACAAGGGCCTCTGGAGGGAAGCCCGAGTGTGGTGTTACTGAGAGTGGGTGTGTAAAGATGTGTCAGACAGAATGTGTGTGGGTGGGCAAAGGCACGTGCCACCTGTGTAAGGATGTGTCAGAGAGAGAGTGTGTGGGTGAGTGGATGGATGTGCTGCACGTGTAAGGATTTGTCAGCGTGTGTATGGGAAGGGTGTGCATGTACATGTGTGTGCCACACATGTAAGAATCTGTCAGACAGGGAGTGTGTGTAGGTATGTGAGTCTGTGCACCACACATGTAAGGATTTGTCAGTATGTGTGTGTGTACCATGAGTGTAAGAATTTGTCGGTATGAGTGTATTTGTGTGTGTATTAGTGTATGTGAATGTGTTTGTGTGAGGGCATTAGTGTGTGTAAGTGTGTGAGTGTGTGTGCTATGCATGTAAGGATTTGTCAGCATGAGTATATGAATGGATGCTAGTGTGTGTGAGTGTTAGTGTGTGAATGTGTGCAAGTGTGTGCTAGTGTGTGCTATGTGTAAGGATTTGTCAGCAGGAGTATGAGTGTGTATTAGTGTATGAATGCATATATGTGTGTATATATGTGTGCTTGTGTGTGAGGATCAGTCAACAGGAGTGAGTGTGAGTGTGAGTGTGTGTTGGAGTGTGTGAATGTGTGACTGTGGATGAATGTGTGCTATGAGCAGCCATAAGCACACACGTCTGTATTTACAGCAGCGGGCACGTATCTGGGCTCCAACAATCACTAAAGACCCCCAGAGCACAATGTGCTGGGACCGCACGGTTCTCCACCTGGCTTCCCTCTAGAGGCCTGGGGCTGACTTACAGGCGAGGGCGGGCATCAGGCCCTGAGTCCCCGCAGACTCTGACCCTACCCATCCTGAAAGCCATCCCAGGGGTTAGAGTGCTTGTTCCATTTCCGGAGCGCCTGCCACCACGGCTCCCCTTCGGCTCTGGTGGAGAATGGATCCCTGCTGCCATTAGGAGGCCACTAGGAAACATCTCTTTTGCAGCCTCTCCCAAGACCTGGTGCCTCACAGCTCCAGGACACCTGGAGACAGAGTGCCACCATCCCGGCCCTCCAGAGCGAGGAGGATGACGAGTCCTGTGATCAAATGCGTCAGGACGGGCTGGGTTTCCATCAGGAGCAGGAGGGTCAGGGCTCCAGTGCCAAATGATTTTCTGGCTCAGCAGCGTGTGACGGAAAGCACTTCTCACCGCCCCCCCCCCATCCACCGCCAGCGGGCTCACCTTTCTGAGTGGTGACTTCGAAGATCTCCGAGCTCTCGCCTGGGTTGAAATGCCTGAAGTAGGAACAGTTTTTCTCTGCAAATAAGGGAGACAACCTGTGAGTGGAAGAGTCTTGGCCAAGGGAGGGTGGGTGCCACCCCATGGGGGCAGGGAAGGGGTACTCTAGCTGACTCCCTGCTTCCCAAACCCTGAACTGAAGTTTGGCTGAAACGACCATCTTTCTCTGACCCTCAGAACAAAATTCCAGTGGGAGCATGGGGTTGCCTCCGAAGCTAGATGCTTCTCAGGAAGCCAAGGTCGAGTGAATCCTCGAGGCAGACAGTCCATTAGACAGAGCAACCCAGGCTCAGGGCTTGGGTACAGAGTCCATGGTCAACAAAGGCCCAAATAGTGTTCGCAGCTGGGACCAATTCTGCCCCCTGGGGGCAGTGGGCAATGTCTGGAGACGTTTGTTGATTTTCACAGCTGGGACAATAGGTGGGGAGGGTGCTACTGGCATCTGGTGGGTAAAGACCAGGGATGCTGTTAAGCCACCTACAACGCACAGGAAAAGCCCCACGACAAGGAAGGATGGGCCCACAGTGGCAATAGTACTGAGACTGAGAAGCCCTGAGTTCACCCAGAATCTAGAAACAGGATCCAGAGCTGGTGTTTTCTTGTGTGCTGCTCATCAGAATCCAGGCCCACTCCCTGGTTCGTTGGATGCAACCTGGAGATCAGTGTTTTTCAGAAGCATTCCAAGTGATGCTGATGTTCAGCCTGGCTGGGAACTCCTGCCTCAGACCTCCTGAGGAGGACTTTTCTGCACCATCTGGATTGAACTTGGGCCAGGGTAGAGAATCTCCATCTTAGGGCTAGAAGTGGCCTCCAGGTCGTTCACTGTGGTCATAGGAAGGCTGGCCAAGACCTTCCCCCAGCAAGCTGCTGAGCCTCCCTGGTAAGTGTCCTAAAAGCTGAAGACAATCTATCTGTAAATAGTAGGCCCACCTGTATGGATTTGATGTGGCAGGGGGTGAAGAAAGGGGGTGGAGCTCAAAGCAGAAATTCACACTGACTTCCATTTTTCTCCTCTTTCTCTCATAACTAGGCTATCAAATACAAGAACATTCTTATCACTTACTGAGTTAGAGTTACATTCTTTCTTCCTGTATTAGCAAGTACAGGAATGGATTCTTTATTAGTTTCTCTCCTAAAAAAAAAAAAAAAAACCTCCAAAAAACTAAATTTAGGTTGCTTTTTATTTGTGTGAGGCCCTTCACTGATTTCACCTTCCTGTGGGTCAGTGACTCTGAACAGAAAAAAACATCCCTGACCCTATTTCAGGTGGCACCTAGTCCATTAATTCATTTCTCTGCCTTGAGGCCACATTTAAATTATCACAAGTTGTTGATGCTTAGTTTCCTGGAAAAGCACCTGCTGAAGCCTTCCTTGTATTTGGCCTAAATTATCAAACAGCTACTTAAGTCTGTGGCCTCCAACTGATCCCCTACCCACCAGTGGCAGAGTGCTGCCTGTTCTGTGTTTGAGGAAGGAAGTGAGCCCTGAGTCTGGTCCTGGTTTAGCAGCAGCAAATGTTCTGTGAGGTAAACAGCCTTCTCTTTGAGCGTCTATATTTAAATCACTTTCCTTTTGAACAGAGGTACCTGGGGTGGCTGGCTGCCGGTGCTGATGTCAGAATGGATGCTGCTCTTTTCTCTCTCCCAGTGCTGTTTGAGAGCAGAACGCAAACCTCTCCTGTTTGTTAGTTATTAGTTATAGATTCTCTTGAGTCACTGCTTCAAAATGGCTCATCCTGTGTCATACGTCTCCCCATGTGTCTCCCTCTGGACAAAGGGACATTTTCATTTCATTCTTGAAGGGCTGATTTCGGTTGTCATTGAAAACCCTCTGAAAAGAATTGACTGCATTCAAGTGTATTTCACGGTCGGCTGCCTCCCTGATGACTCGCTGTCCCTGAGTTAAAAGCTTTGGAGCAGAGGGTGTGAGATAAAGGCCCCTGGCGAGCCCGGCCAGGGCGCAGCTATCAGGCGGTTCTGGGTTGCTGTGGCTGCCCTTGCCCAGGTAATGTTTGGGTTATTAAACTTCCACCAGATAAACACCAGCCTCTGTTCTGGAAAACTGCTACTGATGCTCGGTGCTTGGGTAGAGACTATCTTAGTTCAGAACGACACACACACACACAAACCGGTTCCTGTTGATTCTGACTCAGATGGGCCCATAGAACTGCTCCTTAGGGTTTTCAATGGCTGTGACCTTTCAGAGGCAGATTGTCAGGCCTTTCCTCTGAGGTGCCTCTGAGTGGGTTCAAACCACCAATGTTCTACTTAGTAATCAAGTGCTTAACCATCTGTACCACCAGGGACTCCTTCACACACAGACAGGTAGGTTAAATGTCTGCAGATGCAAATATTTCTACTTCCCCCCTTTCCCCCATTAAATGTCTCAGACAGGGGAGCCCAGTGGGTGGAATTTCCAGTTGGGGCATCTGGAAGCCATGTTGTTGTTGTTGTTGTTATGTGCCGTCGAGTCAGACCCGACTCATAGCAACCCCTCCTTGGGTTTCCGAGGCAGTATCACTACGGAAGTAGATTGCCCCATCTTCCTTCTGAGGAGTGGCTGGTGGGTTTGCTTCTCTCAAACCACCAAACACATTGCCGTCGAGTCGATTTTGGCTCATAGTGACCCTACAGGACAGAATAGAACAGCTCCATACTGTTCCCAAGGCTGTCGTCTTTACAGAAGCAGACTGCCCCATCTTTCTCCTGCAGAACGGCGGATGGGTTTGCACTGCCAACCTTTTGGTTGGCAGCTGAGTGTTTAACCACTGTGCCACCAGGGCTCCTTTCCACAGCTATAGGTTGACCTATATGAAATTATCAATGTCCAGCCACTCTCAGATGTGGTTAAACTCAGAGCCTAAAAACTGACGGGCAACTACAGCTCCTTTCTTGGACTTAGCACATGAGACAGACCAGTGTCTTTTGCCCTCAACCTGGGAGAGCCATCAGCTCCAAGGCCACATGGCTGCCCACTGGAGACCACCAGCCCCTTCGTGGTCCCTGATGGCCCCCAGCAGGGGAGGTGCCATGTCAGACCCAAGCCTCAGTTTGGACATGTCCAGCACCAACATTCAGGACAAATCAAACAAAGCACGTGCCAGCTTCACTCAAGAAGAGTGTAGGGTCTTATTCAGATGGGAAGACACCGTGGTGAGCCCCTTCTATCCCAACCCCTGCCCCTTGGCCCAGGTGGTATCTGTGGACACTCCTCATCAAGGGTAACTTGATAAGACAGGGCACAAAGAAGATGTACGAAGGGACCATGAACACATGAAAAGATCACCACTCATCAGGGAAAGGCAAATCAAACCCACAGTGAGATACCATTTCAGACTCACTAGGATGAGGTCGTTGTGAGTCAGAGTCAACTCCACGGAGCTATTACCAGAGACATGGAAAATAACAAGTGTTAGAGAGGATGTGGAGAAGTTACAGCCCTCATCTGTTGTTGGTGGGATTGTAATATAGTGTAGCCACTCTGGAAGAGAGTTTGGCAGGTCCTCAAAAATAGAATTCCCACATGACCCAGCAATTCCCCTGCTAGGTACGGACACAAAAGAGCTGAAAGTGGGGACTCAAACCTATCTTACGGTAATGTTCAGTGGCATCACCAAGAAGGTGCACGGTCGGAGGAGGTGACACCAAAGTGACCGTCTGTAAAAGTTTTGGGTAGTGTTTCAGCAGAAATTTATTATTTTTTATGAAAATATTCCTGTAGTTACAATAACAAAACCATTGTTTGTGAGCCGCGTGTATATGTATCACTATACCTAAGAGGCTGAAACTCTATGCTAATTTATTTTTTGAACCTTCAGATGTGCTCTGTGAGAGCTGTCATCATTACCTAATACAGTGATTCTTCGAGCCTTGTGCTTTCGTCTGCACGTGCTACGAGCACACGCTGCTGTTTTCCTTGTGGCCACTGTTTTTATAGTTGCTGATTTTGTTAAATTTTCTTGTGTTTTAGCTACAGTATTGTGGTAATTAGTATTCGTGACCCGATAGCAATCACTTTTTTGAGAATGAAGTAGTACTTAGAGGAAAAGGAGAAAGATCAAAAAAAGCTTCCACTCAGGTACTAATAATGTAATAATGTAATTCAATGTAGAAAGATTGCACGAAACAATTTTGTTAGTGTTCTTATAATCTAAAAAACATTACATTTAAGTACTTTACAATTATATTTATCACATATTATTCTATGATTACAGTTGATAATAAATATTACTAAGGATTCTGAATGGCCTGGTGTGGAAGGAGGTCCATGGCAGGGGGTGACACCAACCCTGATGACCCCACTGCTAATGTTTACTGCAGCATGGTTCCCATCAGCTAAAAGTGCCCATCAGCAGACAGATGGATAAACAGAATGTGATGTATCTGTACAATGGACTATTACTCAGTCAGAGAGAAATGAGGTTCTGATACTCTTAGCATTGAGTTGATTCCACTCCCTGCAGCCCCAGTGAAATTCTGATCCATGCTATGATACAGGCGAAGATGCTAAGTGTTTTGTTTCCCTGGTGCTGCTATAAGAAGACATACCACAAATGGATGGTTTTAACCAACAGGGATTTGTTCTCTCATGGTTTTGGAAGCTAGCAGTCCAACTTCAAAGTGCCAGCTCTAGGGACTGGGTGAAGGCCCTTCGACCCTGGGCTTCAGCTCTGCCTCTTGCTCTCAGCTCACTGGACCTGAGGGATCTCTTCACTGAGGCAGCTGCCGGCTGCTGAGGCTGACAAACCCAAGAGCGACAAGAAAAATGGCACAGTTCCAAGATTATCAAATAACACGGCAGGCCACTATTTCAAGTCCAGAGATAGTCCCAAGATTGGCAGACAACACGGTAGGCCGCTCACTCGTGACTCAGCCAAATGCAGGATCCAAATGTGCCAAAAAGCTAGAGACCTTTCTCAAAGCTTCCTCCTAAGTGCTGGACGCAGACCACATTCCCTAAGGCAGCTACTCAGCTGCTCACAGTAGATTCCACCACAGAGTTGATTACCAGTCTCATCATGGGAAATAACTACATCCAGCTGCCCAGCCACTTAAAACCAGAGCTAGCCAAGTTGACACACAGCCAGCTACCATACCAGGTGAAATAAGCCAAACATAAAAGAACAAATATTGTCCTTTTCAAAGCCCACTGTGAGTACCCCTTTCTCCAGCTTTCCCTTTTAAGTTTGTTGGTGAGCCTGACGTTTGCCTTAGGCAGCCAGGTGTTAAACAATGGCAATGATTGTTTTTGACAGATGCCCTTGGGGTGAACACTGTCTGCACTGGGTAAGCTCAGAGTCAGGGCTCATACAGCTTTGCAAATGGGAAGGGGCTCTGGTGGTGCAGTGCTAAAGGCATTAAGCTCCTAACCAAAAGGTTGGTAGTTTAAACCCACCAGTTGCTCTCCAGGAGGAAGATGAGGCAGTCTGCTTCCGTAAAGATTACAGCCTTGGAAACCCTATGGGGCAGTTCTGCTCTGTCCTATAGGATCACTGTGAGTCGCAATAGACTCAGTGGCAGAGGGTTTGGGCTTTTTTGGTTGCAAGTGGGGTCTTCCACAGAACTATCAGATCGGCCAGAATGACATTTCCCAGCAATGAGGCTCGGAAGCTCTCCAGCCTGCTCTGTAACCTCCAATGGCTGCTGGGCTGATGGCTTTCGACACTAAAGGGGAGGGGCAAGGAGTCCCGTGTAGTGCAAACAGTTAAGTCCTCAGCTCCTTGAAAGAAAAGCCTGGTGATCTCCTTCCGAAAAACCAGCCCTAGGAAGCCCCGCGGAGCACGGTTCTACTCTGACACACGTGAGTTGGAATCAAGTCCACAGCAATTGGTTGGTTGGTTTTTTTTTTTTTTGGTGGAGCCAGGAGGGGTGAAGAGGAATAGGGCAAGTTCAAACATCACAAAACGTTCTATTCTTATTGGAACTCAACCATCTTTCTTGAATTAAATAGTCAAGACTTTGGACTGGTTCCAGAGTCCTGCAAACATTGATTCTGACCATCTGTACCCGAGCGCTCACTGCTTCTACGGAGGAGAGGATGTGGGGAGATCCTTACTCTGCCATTGTCTTCTGATATCACCCCACGTTAGTATTTAAAAAACAAACTCACTGCCGTCCAGTCAAGTCGACTCATGGCGGCCCCTCCTTGGGTTTCTGAGGCAGTACATCTACGGAAGTAGATTACCCAACCTTCCTTCCGAGGAGCGGCTGGTGGGTTTGAACCGCCAGCCTTCTGGTTAGCAGTCAAGTGCCTTAGGACTACGCTACCAGAGCTCCCCCTGTTAGTACATGTAAAGCATAGTCTACCTTTGCATTTGTTATTATTACTGCTACTGCTGTTGTTACAATACATGAGAAAACACGTTTGAATCCTCTTCCTCCCTCCACAACAGAGGAGTCCTGGGAGTGTGGAAAGGAAAGGGACGTCCACACACAAAGAGAGGAGAAGGAAGCAGCAGAGATACGGAAATAGGCTTCAGAAGTTTGTTGGAGGGAAGATGGTGCTCAGTGGTGCGGGTGGGGTGGGGGGCGTCTGACTCGCAGCTGGATTATTACTGCTACTGCTGTTGTTACAATACATGAGAAAACACGTTTGAATCCTCTTCCTCCCTCCACAACAGAGGAGTCCTGGGAGTGTGGAAAGGAAAGGGACATCCACACACAAAGAGAGGAGAAGGAAGCAGCAGAGATACGGAAATAGGCTTCAGAAGTTTGTTGGAGGGAAGATGGTGCTCAGTGGTGCGGGTGGGGTGGGGGGCGTCTGACTCGCAGCTGGACTGGGGTGAGAAGGCAAAGAGGTGGGCTCTAATCAGACTCAAGGGTGGCTGTGCCTGCTCATCTTCTGTGGCTGGTCCAGTCACTTCTTCCAGTGTTTCTTCCTTGTGTGAACCATGCTCACCTCCCACTCATCTGCTCCTTGAACTCCCCAGACTTTAATAGGCAGGTGGCTCCAAGGTCAGGGAGCAGGGCTGTGATGGGAGTACCCGCGTGTGGTCCCTGGATAGGCTGCCTCGCCCTGTGCCCTGCCTGGCCTGGCCCAGAAGAGCTGTCCGGATGACACATCTGTTTATGGGTGTGCTCTGCGGCGGCTGAGGGCAGTGGGCTCCCAGCTATGTGATACCCTTCTAGCACACGGTCACACCCGTCTCTGCCCTCAGTGCTGGGACTCTGTTTTTCCAAGGCAGCTGCGTATTTATGAGTCTTTTAGGCATCTGGGGGGGAGGGGTGAGCACAGATTCCTGGAGGAAGTGGGAGGGGAGGAAAGACAGGAGCAGAGCAGGAGGCGTGGGGCTGGGCCCAGGTTGAAGGATCCTGGGGCACACAGCATGGATGCTCTGAAGGGCCGGTCTCAAGGGGCAGCTGTCTGACATCCAAGGAAAAGTTCTGCAATCTGGTGAGATGACACACATGCACTGAGGACCACTGCCACCTTGGAGGGACGTTTGTGGGGACTGGACAGCTGAGGCCAAGTCCTGTATCTTACAGAGGTTGAAGCAGAGGCCAACGGGGCTTTGTTTTCTAGGGACCTCATGGGTGGTCAAGACCAGAGCCCAGGCCTCCCACACTCCACACAGTGGTCCTGACGTACGTAGTCCGTTGGCTGTGAATACAGAGGGTTCCACGTACACAGAGTGGAGACTGGTCCACCTCGGGCCAGGTATTCTAGACAAGCAACTAACCTTCAGTGCGTGGTGCAGCCACGTGTTGTGAAATGGAGGAATGCATGTAAAGGACAGTGGAAGAGGTGTGAGCTGGGGAGCTGGGCAGAGAGACAGAGGGCCTGAGAGAAAGGCAGGGCTGGCTTCACAGGCGTGTGACCCCAGACTCTGCACTTGGAGGCTCCTGTGCTCAGTTTAATGCTCTGCTGTCACTCTCTTGAAATTCTTAAAGAAAACTAAGAGCCCTGTGTTTTCCTTTGGCACTGTGTCTGGAAGTTCTGTACCCAGTTGCCATGGAGTCAGTTCTGACTCATATGCTGACCCCACGTGTGTCACAGAACTGTGCTCCAGGGGTTTACAGTGGCTGATTGTTCATATCTAGCTTGAAGAGCCTCTGGCTGGGCTCGAACCTGCAAGCTCGTGGTTACCAGTGAGTGCACTGGTGGTGTGTACCACCCAAGGACTCTAGAACTTCCGTGGCTGGGCCTATGGGGCTCCTGCTGGGAGGCTCGGGAGTGAAACTGCTGACCTTTCAGCCTGGGGCACAGAGCCACTGGCCTGCCTGTCTCTGTAGGAGGGCAGCAGGGCCAGGCACGCCCAGACGAGTGACCAGCGCTGGGAGCAGAAGCCCCTAGACTGTTAGGTCCGCAGCTTCTGTCGGGAGCCTCTTGGTCCTGTCTGTCCAGCCCTTGTCTCTGGATGAAAAGCCCTGAGCTTCAGGGAGACCGATATAACTGGAGGCAAGTGCCCTCATTTCACAACCAGCTCTGGCCATCAGCACAACCGCATGCAGTTGAGAGCCTCGTCCCTGCCCTGTCCTGAGCCAGAGACACCTGCCCTTGTTTCCAGGGGCGGGGGACAGGGAGGGACAGGGGGCGGGTGTGGGGATAGGGAGTGGTACGTTACCCCCGCTCAGGGTGATGGTTCTGCAGCTCTGGTCCTCGCCGTCACCCAGGACGACGTGCTTGGTGCAGATCCTCCAGAGGCCGAAGTGAGCCACGTCACAGGTGCCGTTGTGGTGCTGCACGTGGGGGCTCAGCACGGCCCAGTGGTCGGTCACCACGGCCACCATGGCCAGCACGGTGCCCACCAGAATGAAGGAGAGGGTCACACGGACCTTCACGGTTTTGGTCTGTGACATGGTGGGGTCCTCGGGCAGGACGCAGCAGCCGTGACTCTCAGGGCAGGTGGTAGCTGGGCAGGGGTGGCGGCGGGCACCGAGCGGGGGGTGGGAGCTAAGTTTAGTGTGCCTGGCAAGCCCAGAGTGGGCCGGCCTTGGGGCTGAGGGACGGGGTTGAGCAGCTGCCCAGACGTGTCAGGGGCCCGAGGAGACTGCTATTAATGCCCGTCACTCGGTATGTCAGCGTGATGGCTTCTGCTCAGATTTCAGGATGTTCTTGCCATCAGGGAGCCAGAAATACCCCGGGTGGGGCAAGGTGAGGGGGATGCGTGAGTCAGGGTAGGGGCCAGGTGTGGGCTGCCTGAACCTCCCACTCTGAGGGCCGGTGACCAGGGTGTGGGAGTCTGGGGCCCTGCTGTCCTCATGAGCCTGCCTCATTTCCCAAACCTTGGGGTGGTTTTAGGTGGTTGCTGGGCCTGGCGTTACTAACACTGACTTGAGGGAGGTCATTTCCTCCTCAGTTGTCTTTCTGAAGCTTCCTATAGGGTTAGGAGGTGCTAACCCTTCCTGACACTTGTAATCCACCCTTCCACACAGAGGGCGCCTGGCCTGGGCCGGACTCAGAGCACAGAGCAGGCCTTGTCTCAGCTCTGTTTCCGCTGCACTGTTTTTAGTTTTATCTTCTATTAATGGCAGGTAATCATGATTTTCCGGTTACATTGCCTTTTCCAAAATAAATGCATTTAAGAAAAAAAGAACAGAAGTTGGTTGATTGACAGGTGACCAGTGGGAGGCTGGAGTCCTTGGGTGGTGCGAGCAGCTAGTGCCCTGGGCTGCCAACTGAAGTGTTGGCAGTTTGAGTTCACCCAGGGGTGGGAGTAAGGCCTGGTGATTGGAAAAAGGCTTGGAAAGATCTTCAGGCTTTTCGTCCGCAGCATCTCCGAGCAGACTTGCATCTGTGATCTTTCAGTTAGCAGCCCGCTGACCGTTTACACCACCCAGGGACTTCAGTGACCCCAGCAGGGGCCGATCTGTCACAATTGACTGACTCGCTGTTTGACTTATTCATGTCCCAGCTTTAGCTCAGCGTGCACCGTCTCCAGCCTGCAGGCCCTCTCCCTGGGGATCTCCAGGAAGCAGGACATGGCACAGTGTCTGAGCCCACTCACACAGCCTATGTGCGCCCCGCCTCAGGGGAACCCCAGGCCGAGTCAGGCAGGCTGGGTGGTTCAGGGGCAGGGGTGCTGGGTAGCTTGAGGCAGACCTACTGGGTGCCAGGCACACAGCAAAGCAGCAGAAGGTTCTGGGGTCTTAAGAGAACACTTAGAAGCCATCTTAATGTTACATACATGTGAGTGGGGTGTCATTTGAAGATATGAAAATGTAGTTTGAACTCCCTGGTGTGATGGGGTGGACGTTGTAAGCTCTCTGCTGCTGGGAGTGCCAACGGTCTGGGAATGGGTATAGAACAGAGCTCTGTCCATGTGAATGGGAGAAGATTGTGGCTGTTACAGAAGCCTGGCCTCATGAGGTCGGCACAGCGAGGGGTCCCGAGTTCTCCAGGAGAGGAAGCATTAAAGATGGATGACCCTTCTTTTTGAAGTTGTCTCTTTGTGAACCAGAGGGCTGATAGCCCCAGGGATTGCAGGCAAGTCTGCCTTCTCCCAGTTTACTAAAATCTCCTCAAACAGACTGTGAGGCTCTCGGCTCCGCCTGTGATGCCCACAGAGGCCACTGTGGGCCACCTGCTCACCTCTCAGGTGGGCCATCAAAGGGCCTCCCTGGCCACTGGCATTGCTGGGAGCTCAAGGTGGGAGACTCAGCATTCGTCCCTGGACCTGAGGCCTGGGGGCCAGTGTAAGGGTTAATAATGACACACTTTATCAGCTTAGCCTGTGGTAGCTGATCTATCCAGGGCGGCAGTTTCTATTACTTACAGATGGATCCGTTTTCTCTAATGGGCTATAAGCGTCTGAAGAGTAGGGATGGTGAGACTGTTATGTACTCATTCTGGGTCCCTCCCAGAGCCCAGCCCAGATCTGAGCCCAGAGTGAGGCCTTCATAAATGCTTGTTGGCTGTGATGGATGGATGCATGGATGGATGGATGGACTGAAAGAAAGAAAAGGACAGAACACACATAATTTACTCCACCAGATGATCCAAAGGGCATTTCCATGTGGCTTTAAGACCACAGGGACATGAGAAATGCCAGCTGGGGCAGATCCGGGAGCACTGGGACCAATAGGCTAACTTGTCTCAGGGTTCTAAGGGATATCTTAGGAGCATACAGTTCTCTGTAAAGCTAAGTTCAAAAGGAAGAGTCCAGAAACACTGTTTGATCCCACTTATGTGGAGCAGCCAGGACAGGGTCCCTGAGGGTGCAAACGTTAACATGTTCAGCTGCTAAGTACAAGGTGGGAGGCTGGGGTCCACCCAGAGGGGCCACACAGGAAAGGCCTGGCAATCTCCTTTTGTGAAATCAACATTGCAAACCATATGGAGCACAGGTCTCTGACACACGTGGAGTCTCCAGCACTCAGAGTTGACTCAAGGGAGCTGGTTTTATTGCTTAATAGGCACAGAGTTTCTGTTTGGGGGATGAAAAGTTTTTACATCTAAATAGCGGTGATGGTTGGAAAAAAGTGAAGGAGAGAACAAAATTAAAAAAAGAAAAGGAAATCTCCTGAGAGCTAATACCGTCTACAGATCATCTTCAAAATGGGTATGCCACCCTCAGCTAATTGGCGGTTGTCTATATTTTGCTCGTTCAGAATGAACTTGTTTTCATTTGTACCAAATGACTGCTGTTCTTCCAAGAAGGATCAGACCTTAACTAAGGGAAGGAGAACATCTCCCGGAGGTGGACTTGGTCTGAGCCAGGATGAGAGCCCGTCTGGGTGAGAGCCAGACAAACACTCTTTGGTAATGTGTTGATCTAATGTTAAGCTCAGGCTTAATTAGGCTGAGGAATGGCCTTGGTGTTTAATCTTAAAATGCTATATTAAAAAAAAAATCAAGACGCCACCCTAATTCATCCCAACCTACAGATGTCAGTCCTTGTCGTGCCCCTACCGCTCAGCTCAGCCCGTCTGCCCTCAATTTCATCTTCTGAGCAACACTGTCCCTCTGCCAAGGGGGTCTCAGAGCTGCGTGTCACCTGTCCCCCAGCCCCAGGTCCAGAGCTTCTTAGGGAGGTGGGTGATGTCTGTGGAGCAGCTCAAGAGCCCAAGTGTGGCTGATCAAGTGCAGAGGGTGACATGCTGTGACCTCAGTGTTGTGGGAAGTTGGGGGCTCCTTTCCAGCTCTGTTCCCCTGAAGTTGATGTTCACTAGCACCCTGAGACTTTCTTTATTCCATTCTCCCTAGTTCAGCTCCTCTCCTCTTCCTGGCCCAGGATCCAAGCCAGGATTTCACATGGCGTTTAGTTGTTACATCTCGTTATCGACAATGTTAGTTGACATTGACTTGATTCCGACTCATGGTGACTGCATGTTTACAGAGTAGAACTGCTCCCTAGGCTTTTCAAGGGTGTGACCTTTCAGGAGCAGATCTGTAGCCTGACTTCTGAGGGGCCTCTGGGGAGGTTGGAAAGCCAATGTTTGGGCTTGTAGTCAAGTGCCTAACCGTTTATGCCACCCAGGGACTCCTTCCTCTCCTCTTTCAGGCTCCACACCCGGCCCTACCCAAGTTTTCTCACTGCCTTAATCACAGGGAGCATCTTCTGAGCATGGTTTATCCAGGACTCCTTGGAACACCTTTCATCCAGGACTCCTTGGAACACCTCCAGTGTAGGGAGGGCTCGGGACATGCCCACGCCAGGACCTTTGCTTTACACAGGGCAGAGATGTACCCCTTGCCCTTGAGGAGCTCACAGTTAAGGCAGCCAAGACCTTCCTCAAAGAGACTGGAGCCTCCTGGGACAGACTCATCAAGTGGAGTGAAGCTCCAAGCAGGATAGAGGACCTCAGAAGAGGCTGGGTGATGCTTATGTGCTGTGTCCATCTACAGATGTCCTTGGGGAGCCTGTGCCCAAGAACAGTTTCACGATCCCTAGGGGATGAGAGGACATGGGAGGGGGACAAGCATTTTTTACTCTAATACTTTTGTATTTGTTTTAGTGTGGACCAGAAGTATCCACACAGTGCTGCCATTAATATTTCTTTAGGGCAAGGCCAAAGGAGTCCATTGGCACAAACGGATTGCACTTGGTTGCTAACTGAAAGGTTGGCTGTTCAAAACCATCTAGTAGCACCAAAGGAGAGAGACCTGGTGATCTGCTCCCATAAAGATTACAGCCTAGGAAACCCTATGGGACAGTTATGCTCTGTCACACATGGTTGGAATTGACTCCACAGCACCCGACAACAGTAATAACAGCGCAATAAAAAGAGTCCATTTAAACAAAAAGATTAAATAAATAATTGTAAGGTGGTGCCTAGGATGTGGCAAAATGCATGCTGGCGTGTGATGTTTGGAGCACACAGCTCTTGCAGAAGTGCCCATACTTCCTGGAAGCGACAGACACAGCCCTGAGTCCGGCTCTGTGGACTGCCTGTGTGGCCCTGTAAGATGTGTGCCTTTTCCGAGCTGGTTTCCTTGCTCACAAAGCAGAGAGGATAATTGCTACTTTGTGGGATCATAGTTAAAATTCAGTGCAGTCACAGTGCACACAGGACATGAACATGGAGACCCTGATGTACATATTTCACAGAAGCCCCATGGGACTTTGAGAGACCCAGGGGTCTGTAGTGTAGCTGCCCATGGCCTGGGCAGCAACAGGAGATATCCCACCATTGAGCTGGTCAGAAGGAGAAGAAAATCCTGATGATCCCTTAGCCAAGAGAATAATAGCTTGATGGATGATAGCACATGAGAGCCGCTGTCCACTGTCCTCATTCTTCTTACTCAGGGAATGATTTGGAAGGAATCTGACAACAGTGGTTCCTACAAATGAGTATGGATGGAGCCTGAGCAATGCTATTTTGTGACTACTCTTGTGACTTATCCATCCATCCATCCA